GCCATAACAACTTAAGTCATGGAAGTTGGAGGGTGTAAAATAAGAACTTCTACTTTGTGGCAGTACACTCTGAGCAACTCTTCTAAGTGTGAGAAACTGTGAGGACTGTTAGGAATCTTCAGCTTACCTTTTCCCTATAAAGAGAAGTCTTTCTAGGCTCTGCATTGATCTGAGAAAGGGAGATAGTATGGAAGAGGCAGGATGGACTGCTTTTCTCTCTCTGGTGCTGTCTTGCCTTTTCATGTTCTGCAGGGATCACATCACTTCCCTCCTACTCTCTATTGCATGCCAAATGGATTGCAGTTGTTTCATTCTTCTTTATTGTGGTGCCTTATAAGGCTATAAAGGCTCTCTCTCTCTCTCTCTCTCTCTATATATATATATGTGTGTGTGTATATATATATATATGGTTTTATAAGGTTATGAAGCTTCCCATGTGTGCCTTCCCATTGTTCATGTGTGCCCAATAACAAGAACTGTTCACAAAAGACTGCAAGAACCACAACCATGCACAAAGGCCACTACAATCTTACACAACAAAGTATTTTTGCAAGGACATCTGTCCAGCAACTGCCAATTCAACCTTGGACTGCTGCCACCTCTGTTGTTAGTCCTTGTAGCCAAGGATAACTACTTCAAAATAATATAATCTAGTTCATTACACCTTTAAAAATGTCCTCTTGCCTCAACCTCTTTGAATATGTCTGTAGTTTACTACAGCACACACATTCCCATTGCAACACTCCTCTATTCCCAAATAAATATTATTCTTTGGAGAATGGCTCTCTGATTGTTATTTATTTACAATATAAAAACACAAAAGTTTTTCTCTTTTTTTTGTACTGGAAATCAAACTTGGGTCCTTGTGCTTGTGGGGCAGGCAGTGGAACCACTGAGCTAAATCCCCAACCCAAGTTTTTCATAATATTAATTTTTCAGGGGTAAAGCTGCCATATATATTATTTTTTTGATTTGAACTGTATGACCAAGAGTTGTACATCCTTTTGGAAAAAAAAATCATTAACGGGAACATCTTTTATGGAATATAAATTAACTAAATCAACTCAACACTCTGAAATCAATGCATATTTTTATTTGTCTTTTATGGTACTGGGGACTGAGCCCTGGGCTTTTGGATTGAGCTGCATTTCCAGCTCAAATTCTTTTTAATTTCTTATTTTAAGATAGGGTCTTGCTAAGTCACTAACGTGTAGTCCTCTTACTTCAGTCTCTCTGAGTGCCAGAAGTATAGCCATGTGCTACCATGCCCAGCTCAATGTATATTTTTAATTGTTGCATTTATAGAAAGTCTATGTGTAGGTGGGAGTGTACTACTTGTCTTCTAGTGTACTCAATAATTAATATATGTAGGAATAAATTTTAGTATTCCACAGCACAGTAAGGTGACTATAGTTCACAGCAAGTTATTATATATTTTATAAAGAATGAGAAGAGTTTGAAGAATCCAAACTCATAACGACATGGAAATGCTAATTATACTGATTTGATGAGTATATATTGCATACAGGTATCAAATTATCACACGGTACCTCATAAAAAAGAATTAAGAATTAACTGAAATACATTTAATTGTTTAAATGTTTATTTTCATTTATTTTTTGTGATATTTAGTGCTTTATCTATTTTTCAACTTATATATACCATCAGTCAATTTATTTCAGATCAGAAAGGGGAAATTACAAAATATTTGTTACAAAAGGGTGAAGTGTGCATCATCAGTGATATGCAAACTATGGTACATATATACAATGGAATAACATTTAGCCTTTAAGAGGAAGGAAATCTTGTCAAACGCTATAACATGGGTGTACCTTAAAGACATTATATTAAATGAAATAAGCCAGTGACAAAAAATACAAATATTGTGTAATTCCATTTATATGCAGGATTTGAAGTAGTCAAATTCATAGAAATAGAGAGTAGGATGGTAACTGCCAGGGGCTGGGGGAAGGAAAAATGGAGAATTGTTTAATGGGTAGGAAGTTCAGTTTTACAAGATAAAAAAGTTCTCAAGAGGTATTTCACAAGAATGTGAAGATACTTTACTGAACTATACTGTATTTTTTGTTTTTGAAACAGAGTCTGGCTATGTAGTTGAGGCTGGCCTTGAACTCACTATGTAGCCCAAGCTGGCCTTGAACTCACGGCTATCCTCCTGCTTCAGCCTCCCAAGTGCTGGGATTACAGCATGTGCCACCATGCCTGGCTGATCTATACTGTTATTGAACTATATACTTCAATATGGTTAAGATGGCAAATTTTGAAATGATTTTTTTAAAATCACAATAAAAAAGAGCAGAATGTGATATGAGGTGGGGTAGAAAACCTGCCCTTGGATGATTAATGTCTCTTCTCTACATTCCTAGGATTTCTTCCACTTCCTGGAGCATAATCCTTATACCACTACACAACAGTCATTGATTTCCATATCCTTCTCTCCCACTGTATTGCAAGCACTTTGAGGAAGCAATTTATCTTTTAAAAAAAATTTTATTAATAAGTGGTTGCAATTCATGCAATTTATAATCATCCCCGGGAGTGGCTGGTTACATGTACATTTTACAGCTTGTTTGCTTTTTATCCTCTTCCTCCTGCATTCCCTTCCCCCCTCCTCCTTGGGTTCCTCTATCTTCTTTTTTGTACTTGTTGATATTATTTGTCTTTGCTCATGTTATGGCTTATAGCATTTACATTGATTTGAGTTATTAGGATCTTGTACATGGCACATCTTTATTCCTCTCATTTCCCCTTCTTCTTCTCACACCTTGCCATTGTTCCCTTGGACCACTTCCCTATTGCAAGAGATCTGTCCACTTGCCCCTTCTATCACTCCTTTATCATTTTCTTTGTTTGTACTTTGCCTCACTCAAATGAGAGATACCATATAATATTTAAGCTTGTGTGTCTGGTTTATTTCACTCAACATTATATTTTCCAGGTGCATCCATTTTCCTACAAATGTCTCAAATGTGTCATTCTTTATACTCTAGTAGTATTCCATTATATATAGATAGTATATTTTCTTTATCTAATTGTCTGTTGATGGCTGGAAAGCAGCTAC